TGAAAGATCTCTATGATGAAAACTACAAAACAATTATCAACTCAAAATGGATTAAAGTCTTAAATGTAAAGACCTGAAACAGAAAACACTGGGCAAACACTTTCAGGACACTGGTCTGGGCAGTGGTGTTTTTGGATATGACTCCAAAAGGATAGGCAACAAAAAATTGACAAATGGGACTATATCAAACTAAAGACTGTGTATAGCAAAAGAAACAATGGAGCAAAAACACAACCTAGAGAATGGGAGAAAATAATGGCAAATTATACATCTAAGAAGAGTTAATAACCAGAATATATAAGGACTCACATGTAAAACAACTCAAGTGCAAAAACCCAAATAACCCAATTTAAAAAATGGAATAATGATCTGAATCACAAAAGAAGACATGTCAATGGACTAAGAAAGATGAAAACTGAGCATGATTAATCATTAGAAAAATGCAAATCAAAACCACGATGACATTATTACCCTCATCCCAGTAAGAATGGCTATTATCAAAAAGACTAAAAATAGTAAGTGTTGATAAGGATGTGGACAAAGAGAAACCCTTGTTCACTATTGGTGGGCCTGTATCTTAGTTCTGCCATTATTGAAGATACAGAATATGTTTGGCTAAAAATATGGAGATTTTAAGTCAAGAAAGAGACAAGAAGAAAAAAGGGAAGGGAAGGCCACAGAATTCAGCAATCCTACTGTTGGATATATACCCAAAGAAAATTAAATCAATTTGTCAAAAAGATACCTGTATTCCTATTCACAATAGCCAGGATTAATGTCCATCCAGATGAACAGATAAAGAAAATGTGGTATAAGTACATAATGGAATACTATTCTGGTGTAAAAAGCATGAACTCCTATCATTTGTGACATTATATTAGTATGACTCAACCACAGAAAGACAACTACCACATGATCTCACTCATAAATATACTTTTTTCCTTGGGATCCCAAGGAAATTGGGCATTAATAGAGAAACTAGAGAGACGGGAGAAGAGAGAGATCAATTAATGGTACAATATTATAGTCTCATAGGAGGAATAAGCTCCAGTTATTATATGGCAGTATTATATCCACTCTGGTGAATACAATTAATAATATACTATAGATCAATTGATCGATCTCAAAATAGCTAGGAGAACAAAATTTGATTATTCTTACCAAAAAGAAATGATAAAAGTTTAAGGTGATAGATATGCTAATTACCACAAGTTGATCACTATCCATGAATCAAAATAAAAACATCACAGTGTAACTCATAAATATGTACAGACAGTATGTACAAACATAAAAACTAAAAATACCAGGGCTAGGAGTGTGGCTTAAAGGGAGAGAGCCTGCCTAGCAAGCACAAGGTCCTGAGTTCAAACTCCAGTACTGCCAAAAATAAGATAAAAAAGAACAAAACACCTAGGAATAAACCTAAGGAAAGCTAAAGACTTGTATGCCAAAACAACACAAAATTGCTTAAATGAATTAAAGATATAAAAATGAGAAGATATATTTACAAATTAGAAGACTTAATATTGAGGTTACTACTGTTCAAAGTGATCTACCAATAAACATAATCCCTATCAAAATCTCAATGACATTTCTTGCACAAAACATACCTTAAAAATGATGTAGAATCTTAAAAGAGATGCTGAATAGCCATAACAATCTTGAAAAACAACAACAATGATGGCAGACTCACACTTTCTGAATTCCAAACTTACTACAAAGGTACAGTAATCAAAATAGTATGGTGCTGGCATAAGGACATACATATATAGATCAATGGAATAGAACTGAAAACCCAGAACTAAACCTTCATATATAAGGTGAACTGATTTTTGACAAGGATGCCAAGACCATTCAATGGAGGAAAAAGATGGGTCTTTTCAACAAATGATGCTGGGAAAACTGGATATCTAATTCAAAAAACCGTTACTTTAAATTATATTCAGGAATTAACTAAAATAGATCAAAGATCTAAATGTAAGAACTACCAACCATAAAATTCTTAGAAGAAAACATGGGGGAAAAAGCAGCATAATGTTGGATTTGGCAATAATTTGGGAGGGATGACACAAAATGCACAAGCCACAAAAGAAATAACAGATAAACTGGACTTCATAAACTCAAAAGCTTTTATGAATCAAAGGACACTATCAAGAGAATGAAAAGATACCAACTGAGTGGGTGAACTATTTGGAAGTCATATATCTGATAAGGATTTAATATACAGAACAATTGAGAAATTCTACAACCCAACAATAAACAACTCAATTAAAAATGGACATGGACTTGGATATTTTTTCAGAGAAGATATATAGTCAATAAATAAATGTGAAGATATTCAACATCAGTACTCATTAGGGAAATACAGATCAAAGCTAAAATGAGATAGTACTTCATATCCATAAAGATAGATAACTGAAAAAAATTCATATTGTTGATGATACAGAGAAATTGGAATGCCTGTTTATTGTTGGTGGGGAAGTAAAATGGTATATGCAGTTACTGTGGAAAACAGTTTTATAGTTCCTCAAAAGTTAAACACAGAATTACTTCATGGCACGAAACTGTATACTTATAAATTGCTTAAAAAGTAGCCAGGTGCTTGTGGCTTCATCCCTGTAATCCAAGCTACTCAGGAAGCAGAGATAAGGAGGATAGTGGTTCAAAGTCAGCCCTACCTTAAAAAAAAACCCCAATCACAAAAAAGAGGTGGTGGACTGGCTAAAGGTTTAGCCTGTGAATTCAAACCACAGCACTGCGAAAAAAAAAAAAACCAAGCCAAGCCCAGCTACTTCTGGAGGCAGAGTTAAGAGGGTCATGATCACAGACCAGCCCAGGAAAATGTGAGAGACTCTATCTGAAAAACAAACTAAAAAGTGAAAAGGGTTGAGGGGCATAGCTCAAGTGGTAAAGCACTTGCCTAGCAAGCAAGAGGCCGTGAGTTCAATCCCCCATGCAGCAAAAAAACAAAACAAATGGCTTAAAAGAAATGAAATTGCTTCTCAGAGAGGAAAAAAGTAGTTAAAAAGATAAATTTTGTGTAATGAATATTTTTCCACTGAAAAAGAAAAAACAAAAACAAAACCTCCTATCCATGTCCTATGGGGATTACAGATTAGAAGACTTAATACTGTCACTTGAGTATTTAAATAATTAAAAAGTAAATGTGTTGTGACACAAACTTGGAGAGTAAGCTGGAGATGTGGCTCAGTATAGGGCACTTGCCAAGAACACCTGAGACCCTAGGTTTGACCCCCTGTAACATACACACACACACCAACTAATGAATGCATTGTAGACTGACTCTATGTGCCACGCATCCTAAGGAGATTTGTTTTTGTTATATTTTGTTTTTTGAGACAGGGTTTCACTATGTAGTCCAGGTTAGCCTCAACTTACTATGTAGCCCAGGTTGGCCTCAAACTCATGATCCTTCTGCTTTAGCCTCTCAAGTGCTGGGAAGGAGTTTCTTTTGTTTGCTTTTTTAAAGTATTGGTCTAAGAAGTCAAATGGACAAGTAACATTACTAAATATATTACTATGAGTATGTCACAAGTTTTATAGCCTGTTCTTGAAATACATACTGGAGGGAATCCGTAATGTGATTAAAAATAATATAACAGAGCTTTGGAGCCGGGCACCAATGGCTCATGCCTGTAATTCCATCTACTCGGTAGGAAGAGATCAGGAAGATCACAGTTTGAACCCAGTCCAGGCAAATGGTTCTTGAGAGCTTATGTTGAAAATACCACCCAACACAAAAAAGGTCTGGTGGAGTGGCTCAACAGGTAGAGCACCTACCTAGCAAGCATGAAACCCTGAGTTCAAACTCTAGTACTAAGAAGAAGAAAGAAAGAGAGAATAAGAAAAGAAGAAGAAGAAGAAGAAGAAGAAAGAAAGAAAGGAAGGAAGGAAGGAAGGAAGGAAGGAAGGAAGGGAAGAAAGAAGAGGGAGAAGGGAGGGGAGGAGGGGGAGGGGGTTTTTGAGTTTAAAGTTAGCTTTGGCCAAGATGCCCCAGCACTGACGAATGGATTAAGAAAATGTGGTATCTATACACAATGGAATTTTATGCAGCCATGAAGAAGAACGAAATGTTATCATTCGCTGGTAAATGGATGGAATTGGAGAACATCATTCTGAGTGAGGTTAGCCTGGCTCAAAAGACCAAAAATCTTATGTTCTCCCTCATATGTGGGTATTAGATCAAGGGCAAACACAACAAGGGGATTGGACTATGAGCACATGATAAAAGCGAGAGTACACAAGGGAGGGGTGAGGATAGGTAAGACACCTAAAAAACTAGCTAGCATTTGTTGCCCTTAATGCAGAGAAACTAAAGCAGATACCTTAAAGCAACTGAGGCCAATAGGAAAGGGGGAGTAGGAACTAGAGAAAAGGTTAGATCAAAAAGAATTAACCTAGAAGGTAACACCCACGCACAGGAAATCAATGTGAGTCAATGCCCTGTATAGCTATCCTTATCTCAACCAGCAAAACCCCTTGTTCCTTCCTATTATTGCTTATACTCTCTCTACAACAAAATTAGAGATAAGGGCAAAATAGTTTCTGCTGGGTATTGAGGGGGGGGGAGCGGGAGGGGGTGGAGTGGGTGGTAAGGGAGGGGGTGGGGGCAGGGGGGAGAAATGAACCAAGCCTTGTATGTACATATGAATAATAAAAGAAAAATGAAAAAAAAAAAGGGGTTTAGTATGTTATATAAAGGTCTAAGTAAGTTTTAAAAGTATACAATAAAAAGCTTTGGTGTGTGAAAAAAAAAAAAAGTTAGCTTTGGGACCAGAAGGTAGGTAAATAGCAAAAAAAAAAAAAAAATTAAAAGTATGAATTACTTTTCATTTTGAAGTTGTAAAAATCAGTCTATAGGGACTTACTACTTTGCAAACTTGTTTAAAAGTTACTCCTTACTTCAACCAAACAAAGGAATAGAATGACACATTAATGTTTAAAACTTCATTTTCATTAAGTGTACATTTTTAAATTACCTGGAATCAAGAGAAGCAAAAAGTTTATCAAATTGTTTCTCCACAACCTCTATAAGACTGTTTGTCTCCTTTTTTGTTTTATTCTGTGTACAATCAAGCATCTGGAAAAAGCAATTCAAAATCTAATTTGGTATTTTTACCTTGCAGAAGTTGTACTATCAGTACCTTCTTTTCAAAATAACAACACAATAGGTGATAAGGTAATAAACAGAAAAGTTAAAAATTCAACTTTAAATCTTGGTACTTGTCAGCAAGACATCTTGTTGACATTCTGTATTGATAATTTGGTTAAGAAAAAAAACCCACTGAAAATTTTCTAAACTGTTTTTTTCTTATCCTTTTTATCATTATAGGACACAAATTACTTTGGACAGCTGAATTTCTTTCTTTTTTTTTTTTTTTACAAATTAATAGGCTTTATTGTCCTGTTTCTATACATGCTAGACAGCTGAATTTCTGTGGTAGGATTCTCTGAAACAAAATACAAAAACAAACAACCCCAAATAAAACTTAGAGAAACCACACTTGAATTAAAATGTTAGCTATTCCATGTTTCTTTGCATTTTTAAACAATTTAAAAATGCATGACCCCTCTTTTCCTTCCAATTTCTACCTTTTGGAATGGGAATGTCTATCCCACACCTGTCTCACTTTTTTTCTTTCAGTGCTGAGAAGCAAACCCAGAGCCTTGTGCAAGCACTCTACCACTGAGCTACATCCCCAGCCTAACTAATGTGTTCTAGAAGCAGATAATTTCTTGTCTACATTAACAAGCTCACAGTTGAAAAGTAATTTTTCTCAGGATAAATCCTATCCTGAGTCTCACACGTATGTGACTTAGAAGATATTGAGATTATATTTTTATCTTAAGAGTTGATGCTGGCTTTGAGAAAGTTGGGGTGAGGTGGATGTATTTTGCCCCTTTGAGCTGAACTGTGCCCTCTTCCAGATTCAGATGTTAAAGTCCCACACTCAGTTTACCACAGATTAGTTTTTCTCACTACATCTAGTACTTATTATCTTACACCTAGTTTTCATCACAGGTAACATTCTTTTTACCCTTCCTTCTCAAATGTTTTTCTTCTCTCATTCTTCTGTCCTTTTATCATATTTCCTATTCCTTTTGAGAAATCTGCCTTTTTATAGTGACTTTCAGCCAATCAAAATGTTCTGTCCTTTTCTGCAAAAAAGCAGCCAAAAAACTTGACTCTTTAATTATAAATTTGTTGTTGCTGGGTGTTTAAGAGCTTGTTCCCTGTCATCAAATGAATGAGTCTCTTGTCAGGTAAAGCATACAGAAAATAAGATTCTCTCAGCTGGTGGATACAGCCAGGCAATGAACTGGGATGCTTCAAAGATAACATTCAGTCTTGTACAAAAAATACAAGTCATGGTTTCGTACTAATCTCCAATTTCATTAGGTTCCTAACACAACAATGCTACAAATCCAATCAATTCTTTCTTATGTTTCTCTATTACTAGGTTGGAATAGTTAACACAGTGCTAAATTCTAACCCCAGTGATAACACATCCAAATGTACACATTTAAAGAGTGCATGTTATGCTTCTCTTTGTGATTGAATTTAATCATTCAAAATGCTTACTTTTAGAGCAATACTTAATTGTTCAAAATTATAGCCTGCTATCTTCAATGCTTCATCAATTTCTTCTGTAATTTTAGTCTCCTGAGGAGAAACACATACAAATATAAAATACAAAAATAGATGCCTATATATATAGTATAGTTGCAAAAATGTCAAGCTACCTTTTTAGTTACAAGAACAATGCACTGCTGCTGCAGAAATCTTAAAATAAGCACCCAAAATAACACTTCTAACTCTGCTAACCCAGAAATAAAAAGCATTAACATTTTGACTCGGTTATAGCATGCTAGATTTTTTCCATAAAAGATCTATTTCTATCTCTAGATAAACATATACGCATATATTCTTTTTTTGAGACAGGGTCTCACTATGTATCCCAGGGTAGCCTCAAACTTGTGATCCTCTTGCCTCAGCTGCTTAGCCTAAGTGCTAAGATTACAGGCATGCACTACCACGCCAGGCCATAAAGTCATACTTCTAAAAGACAGGATTATGCTTCACATCCATTTTTAAATTTACAAACTATCTTGGATGATTTATCTTGGCAGTAAGTACACACATACAAAAATTATATTTAAAAAATATATTATAATTTGTCTCTGTTAAGATTTAAATGAAGTAAAAAAGAGCAAGATTAAGATAGCTCCCTGCCCTCCAAGTTCATTAGTGATCTTAACAAAGAGATTTCACAACTCATTCTGCTACATTTTGGAGTTTTTTTGCATTTCTGATCTCAAAATTATCAGGAAGAGTAACAGGTAAATTCAACCTTCAACAACAATAATAGTATCATCAACAACAACAAATGCAATTAGGCCTTTGGTTGCCATTAAAATAACTGGAAAGCTATACTTAGAATTTAGAAAGTTGTACTTTGTACATGTTTCACAAAATCTGGATTCAGTACTAGGTTCAAAGGGAAGAAGATACATTCAAGTAAATATCAAGAACTCTGAAGAAGAGTCAGTTAAAGGGCTGCCGTTAGGAAGAAAAGAGAATGAGTATAGGTTAGAATAGTTCAAACACAGAATAAAACAAAAGATTCAATAAGGAGAGTAGGTGTATATCTGTTGCCTTTAAGTTCCAAAAACAATCTACAATTATAGGAATCTTGAGAGGAGGAGAAGAAAAGTTAAGCTACCAGGGATAGAGCCAATGGTTAGTATCATCATACTTCAAGATCAACATTTTTCATACCGACGTTATAGCTGATGAGCTCAGAACAGTCCTGTGTATGGAGGTTGAATGTTCTAAACCAACAGTTAGCTGATCACCCGTTCTTTTAAAGTCTGGAGAACAATTCTTTATCCTGAAAAAGGTCAAATATATTATTTTAAATACTTGCAAAAATATAATGGTCTTAACCTTATAATCTGATTTTTATTGCCTATTGAAAAATTCATGATTTATCAAAACATGCACAGTGGGGTCTCAATTATCTCTAAGAGAGGAGAGAGAATAAAAGAGTAAATATGCTTTCATATAAACTTAATTTTAACCAAGAATTCAACTTCTTAAATTCCTAATATTGACTTGAAGTTATATGTGTTTTAATTTCTTAGTTACCTCTCCTTACCTGGTATTTTCTGGTATCAGTATTGACAATGACTGAAATGTCTTAAGCTCAATTAAAGTAAGAAATTATACACATACATTAGAAGTAGTTATACATAGAAATGTCAGCTATTAAATAGATGTACTGATAACCCTGGGTAATTTACAAAAAGGCAATGAATTTACCTAGTTAATTGTAAAGAAAAGGTTAGTTGTATTTTCTTGTCCAAAGAAGCTGAGTTTTGACTGATTTTTATACTTATCTCTAAATTGGCCAGCACACAGTAAGCACTTAAGTGTTTGCTGAATAAGTTAATAATAACCTTATGGTTTATAGATGTTTAAATATATTACTCTTATAGAGAGAAATACAAGATTAAGTAATTTTAAAACATTCTATTATTTTGAACAGAGAAAATTCATGTTTTTCTTTTCTGTGGCTATTTTTTGCAACAGGGTCTTGTTATGTAGGCTATGCTGGCCTCCAATTCTCAAGTCTCCTGTTTCAGTTTCCTAAAGCAATGGGATTACAAACATGTGTCACCACATCCAACAATATTCATATTTCTTAAATGTATGAGTACATGGCCCTAAGGATCCCATTATTCAATTCCTGTTTAAAATATTAAAGACAAAACAGAAAAGAAATACATTATGAATCAAGGAATACTATAATTTAAAAATATATAATTATTTTAAACCAAACTGCATTTAAATTAAGGACTAGGAATTTCTAACATTAAGTATACATGGAAAACTTAATTTAAAAATGGTAATTTGGAAGAAATTTGGGGACTTTCTGGTAATGAATTTGCTTACCTCTGAAAGTAAATTTCACTTTGTAACTCTATTAGATACTACACATATCTCGACAAGAATACAATCTGATTTGATTTGCATGGTGTTTTAAGTCAGAAAATTTCACAAAGAAATGCAGATCTCTAGTTTGTCTTAGGAAAAAGAAAAAGATCTGGCAACACTGGGTTGGTCTTAACACATATCAACAATGGCCTGCGTAGACTGGAGGCTGCCTTCTTTGGTGGGGAAGAGTCAGTCAGTCCTCTTGATTTGCCACAATACTTACTATTTATCGTTTAGACTCAGTCTATGTTACCTAGTAGTCATCTGGTTGACTTTTGCAAGTTTTTAAATTTGGGAGCCCTAAATTTTATAAAAATATCTACTCCATGGACACAAGGCCTATGGTCACTGATTCACAATGAGGCAGAAGGATTCCTAAGGGTTTATTATAATCACATAAGGGTCTTATAGACTTAGCAGGAGAAACAAATACAGCTAAGTGCAAAAAAAAGTAACATAACAGTTGTCTCTAGCTCAGGTATGTTTTTAAATAATCTATTTACTAATTAAAAGAAAGCATTTATTAACACCTACATTTTCTGCATCTTATTAGAATGGAAAAATGAATAAAAGAATCACAAAGTTACTATTTTTCTTTTTATAAATCACCTCTTCCCACAACTGTGTTTGTGCTATTCTTAACATCAGAGAAATAATCTTTTCTCTATAAAGTTATGGCCCAGAAGCAGTAAGTTTTGCTAGTACTGTCCCCTCCGCCTCTCATTCTCATGTAGTAAATTTTCTCATTCTTTCCTTCCCTTTAAATAAGACAAATCAATGCTGCTTCTTTAGCAACATTAGTTTCCATTCCACCAACAGCCAAGACAAATTATGAACTTAAATAGAACTCTATAAACAATAGATCCAAGAATGACATTTTATCAACAACTCTAAAATTATTTCAGAAATAGGTTGAACTTTAAAGCTAAAATAAATGCACATAGAACATACATTTTCGGTTGCAATTTGTCCATAGAAGAATCTTCTTTAATATATCCATCTACTGGGTAGTATCCTTGTCTCATATTTATAGGTGTAGCAACCTAAGGACAAAATAAGATTTAAAAAGAAAAACAAGGGCTGGGAGCATGGTTCAAGTGGTAGAGGGCCTGTCTAGCAAATACAAGGTTTTAAGTTCAACCCCCAGTACCAACCAAAGATAAAATCAAGTAAAATAAAAACAAGCACAAAATCATTCAATAAATTCCATTTACCTAGTAGCCAAACAACTATGTTAAATGTGCCATTCATAAAGTTAAGAATATCCTTAAACATTCTGAAATCCTCTTTAAGTCAAGGGGAAAACTGAACCTACAAGATGGTTTTGCCCTATTTTATCTTTTAAAAAAAAAAGTCAGTCTAGCAACTATTAATTAAATAGAACATTAACTAAAACACCTCATTCTGACACAATTCTAAAGGGAACCCTTGAAAAAATAATTTAAAAGTTCACTGTAAAAATGTATAATAATATCTTGATGTGTTCAAAACTATGAAACACTTAGGAATAAATAATATAAACTCACAAAAAGTTATTGGAGGTGATAAAACAAGAATTGAATAATCAGAAGAATCATGTCAGACTCTTGGAGACAGACAGTCAATATCCTGAAATCCATCTAACGTAAAATTAAAATAATTCTACAAGTTCAAACGGAAAAAATATATATCACACTCTTACAAAAAATTTAACATATAACTCAGTAGGGATTTATTCCACTGGATCAGACTATTATAACACTACTGTAATTAAAACACTACAGTACTTAACACAGTCAATAAGCAGAAGACAGCCTTGAAAAAGATTTACATATAGAATACAAGTGCCATTTCAACCAACAGAAGAAGGATTATTCAATAAATCGTGTGGGAAAGTTTGGTAGTCATTCTGAAATACAAAAGGATTAAAATGTACCTTTTTAAAGCATGATAAACATTGAAGAGACATATATTTATGAATTTGAGGAAGGTCTGCCTGAACAAAGAAAACCTAAGAAGTCACAAAGGAGAGGAAAAACTATTTAAAAGAAACATTTCTGAATGGCTAAATGTAACAAAAATCAAAAGTGAAAGAGTGGGAGAAAATAGCCACATGGGACAAAGTGTTAATATCCCTATCACACAAAGTATTCTTACAAGTGAGGAAAATGACAATTTAAAAGGAAAATACACAAAGGATCTATTAAAGATCCTCAGGAAGAAAAACTAGCAAGTTAGACATATGAAAACATGCTCAATTTCACTGGTAGTTGAGTGAATTGCAATTTAAAATAAGATACATTATTTCTTTATCCATTAAACTGCCAAAAATTAAAACAAACAGAACAAGTCCAAACAATGACTTCTTCCTGGGGTTTGAACTCAGGGCTTCATGCTTGCTAGACAGGCATTCTACCACTTGAGTCACTCTGCCAACTGTTTTTTTTGCTTTTAGTTATTTTTGAGACAGGGTCTCGTGTTTTTGATGGGTGCCAGCCTCAGACCTCCATCTTCCCAATGGCTTGCCTCCCTCATAGCTGGGGATCACAGTTGTGAATGACCATACTGGGCTTATTAATTGAGATGAAGGTTTTGCTAGCTTTCTCACTCAAGCTGGCCTTGAACCAAGAATCTTCCATTCTCTGCCTCCAGATTAGCTGGGATTACAGATGTGAGTCACAAAACTGGCCAAACTTGGATTTCTTTTGTGCTAGAAATCACAAAATTGATGAGATTTTTTTTTTTTGGATGATGGGCTTGAAGAATTGTGCAAAATTAAGGTAAAAAAATCTTTTATCATTTACATACAAAGGTTTACTACATAGCCTTTAAAGAAATGTAGGAGCTAATTTCTTAAGAACAGGTGAATGTTGCTAAAAGAAAAAAGGCAGAGGGGGAGAGCTGGCACCAGTGGGAGGGAGGTGTTGGGGAAATGGGGGAGGTGTTTGGGAAATGGGGTAGGAGGGTAAATACAGTGCAGTAAAATGTGTACACATGTAAGTAAATGCAAAAATGATACCTGTTGAAACAACTCCAGGAATCGGGGGAGGGGAGTAAAGGAGAATGGTTGAGGAAGTGAATTCATGTATATTTGATACATTGTAATAACCTGTGTAAATGCCACAATGTACCTCTACCCATTACTGAAAAAAAATTCAGAATACTAAAAAAAAAAAAAAATGAGAGAGAGAAAGAAAAGGCAGACTACTAAGTGTCACAGTCTCCCTTTTTTGTGAAATACACATCAATGGTGGGGAACAGGACATTCTTTCAAGGCTAGCTATGCATTATTAGCATAGTTCAGGGAGAAGGGTTACTTTTAACAAATCACATTGAACTGAGCGATATTTTTAAGCACCTCCCCCAAATTAGGGGGCTAAACATTTTACTTCTAGTTAGTTATGAAATTGCATATCCAGTTAATCCCCTGCTGGTTTAGCATTTCATAAGAGGTTAATGTTACTACAGATTTGATACAGGACATTTCTTCCAGGAAGTTTAAGAAAATGTTAAATGACTGAAAAGATTTCAGTTAAGTTGTATAAAGACTCCTAACTTGTAACATATATAATAAAGGTTTTCTTTTCTCTTCATATTTTGTCATTTAAATTTTATTTATGGTGTTTTTGTTTGTAAGTAAAAAAGTATGGTCAAAATTCTTTGATCAGTGAATATTAGTTGTACAAAATATTGGGTTTCATTGTGACTTTTTTTTTGATGGGACCATCACTGTGACATTTTTACACATTCATATAAATATACTTTCGTCATATTCACCTACCTCCTTACTCTTATTCTCTCTTTTCCGTACCCCTCATTCTCTTCCTTTTCCTTAATGTCCTCTTCTACTTTCATGTTTTTCTAGACTTCAAATGTGGTCAAATTTACCAAAAGTTTTATTTATATAGGTTTAACTTCATGAATATAGATTTAATTTACAAAAGTTTAAATATTTTGTGAATATAAATATTTAAATCTTACTTTTTAGACCACACACATTATTCAAAATTAATAAACATTCCTTAAATTTATACTTTCCATTAATTTGACTAGATTCCTCTAAATTTTCTCTATACTGTATTCCAAATATTAAGTACCAATAAAAATCAAACTTTAGACTAGGTGCTGGTGGCTCACACCTGTATGCAATCCTAGCTACTCAGAAGGCAGAGATGAGGAGCACTGTAGTTCGAAGATAGCCCAGGCAAATAGTTCAAGAGACCCTATCTCAAAAATACCTAACACAAAACAGGGATGGTGGAGTAGCTAAAGTGGTTAAGTGCCTGCCCAGCAAGCATGACCTAGCAAGTGTCAGTTCAAACCTCAGTACTACCAAAAAAAATAAATAAATAAAATTTTACAAAGATGGTAATAATTTCAAGAAGGTTTCTTAAAGGAATCTTTTAAATAAGGACTATTCAGGTATTTGGAGAATCTAAATGTAGCCACTTTCCCAACCAATGGAGGTGGAAAATCTAAGATATATTATAAACGCATACGTAAATATCACAACATATCCCCCTGTACGACTATTATATGATAATTTTTAAAAAAAGATGGATACAGCCAGAGATGGTCCTAGCTGCCTGCTCCTTTTTCCCTTCTCTTATTCTTCCTTCATCACAAGACTATAACTGTCAGCATTTACCATCACAAACACAGGAGTGGGGGGGGGGTCGTCTCTGTCCTAACTATGTAACCTTGCACATCTGAGGAATCCCATGTCAAAAAAAAAGGAAATAGGAATTTCCCACAATAAAAGGCATAACTTGTAATTCCAAAAGAGTTCCTAATATGTAAATGTTTTGCTGTAATGAAAACTTTTAGAAATCACAATACATTTTTATTTTATCTAACCTACAAACCAGTTAATCCATACCTACATAATGGATTATTTTAATAGTCGGGAAGCTTGTAGAGAACTTTTATATCATTCAGATTTGATTCTTATGATCCTATGAGATAAGACAAAGCAGGTATTATTTCCATATCACAAATGAGGAAGCTCAGACTAGGTTGACAAAACGAGAACTGTATTCTAGCTCTTATGCCTCCATTGTCTGCCCACTGGCACAGAAACAGTGGATACAAACCCAATTGTTTTGAGTTTACAGATTAAAAATTTTTCGATGAAGTCAACTTTCTGGAAATATATTATTTAAATTGAATTACACTTGTATTTGTAGTAAATGCAAAAGATGTCTAGCATATATTTTTAAATCTTCACTTGAGGCCGGGTGTGGTGGTTCATGTCTGTAATCTCAGCTACTCAGGAGGCGGAGATTAGGAAGATTACACTTTGAGGCCAGCCTGGTCAAACAGTTAATGGGACCTCATCTCAATCAAGCTGGATATGATGGTTCATGCCTGTAATTCCAGGTTCTGGGAGGCATAGGAAGAAGGATCACAGTTTGGCAAAAACACAAAGCTATCTGAAAAACAACTAAAGCAAAACAGGGCTGTGGGCGTGGATCAAGTGGTAAAGTGCCTGCCTAGCAAGTTCAAAGCCCTTAGTTCAAACCCCAGTACCACCAAAACAAAACCAAAAATTTTTATTTGTTCTCATGGGTTGGTACATTTTAGTCCTTATGGAACTGTTCTGTATTTCATTTGAATAGGCAGTTGTTTTGCTTCCCTGCCTTTTTATAGTATAGCATCTCTACAAATGCAATTTTGATAACACAAAGACTTGAGAGGCATGGTATTAGTATGGAAGGGGAATGGGAGTAAGGCTTTTGAAAAGAATAGTCCCCACTGAAACAAATAAAAAGAGGTAGTTTTCCACAGAAGTATCCAAAGAGTCAAAATATGTGGCTGTATACATGACTTTAGTCCTTTAGTTTCATCACTTTGAACAATTATAAAATGGATGGGCAAAGTTTTGTCTTTTGTTAGGCTTCTTTGCAGCCAAAATGCAAGCTTTTAGATTCTAACTGGAAGTATGTTTTATTTCTCTAACATTTTAACCTTTCAGATCAGACTGTAATGTATTCAACATGAAAAAATTACAAAACTTACCTCACAATTGGGGCATTTAATTGTGCTGTATTCTTCAGGTACTAACAAGCACAGTTCACAAAAAGGGTGTCCACACTGAAGTTCATGGTGGCGACCTATTGATGAAATTGTATCGTGAATTAAACTTTCCACAGTTTTTAATGTTAATGGGAAGCAAATCAAAGGGAAAAATTCAGGAGAAACTATACAAATCAGCAGGAGAGAGCAAAATCAGGCAGCGTTTCATGATAATGTTTTCATTAATTCAGACGGTTATTTTGTACCTAAAATACTATGAATTTACCATATCTTATAAACTTACAAAGTGCTCTGACATAGTTCATTTGATCTTTGTTAAGTAAACATGGCTAAGTAGGCTGGGAATATCTGGTCCAACCTAAAGACGAGGAAACATGTTGGTGATTTTGATAATTAAATGGTTTAACTGAGATCCCAACCTTCTTCTAAGTCTACTAGATTATACATACTACCCTCAAAGAATTTGTATTTCCCATCTTATGAAGGCGTTGGGGAATCCTCGAAATGAAACACTAGGAAGAATGCTTTTATAATAATCTAACATGTTAGGAAGGGCAGAAACCAGAATAGAAGCCAATAGAAGCTACTACTATCACACACATGACCCACCTAAAGATCATTTCTACAAACCCAGGATTTATTAAAGGAAATATCAAAACCTTGGCCGAAAACCTACTATTAAGATTTAATTGTGCTAAGTAGAATTCGAAGTTTAACACAATCAACATTTGTTTTAGTTATGTAAAAGAACTGTCATTTTAAAAACTTTTTTTCAAGAAAACAAAAGGGAAAAGGAAATTAGAAAAAATAAGTTTTTACTAGCAAGAAATTTTAGTTCTCACAGAATTACAATAATTGCATTTTCAATTTTTCCAGTCAAGTGAAATATATGAAACTTGTTTAATAATCTTGCTATATTTTACAGCCCGATTTAAATTCCAGAGATACTACCAAAGAAATCAAAATTCTAAACTATTTTCATATAATTTCTTGTATACTGAAAGTTGGAATAACCTGTGATGCACTTCAGATTGTGAAGCCCTTTCACAATTCTATATGAATTCTGGTTCTTCTAATTGAGTATTTCTAAGTATCATCATACAAGTGCCACAAAAGAACCACCAGTTTTACAAGGTCACGTTTAGGAGTTGTCTTACTTTTTTCCCTTTTTTCTATTTCTCTCTACTTTATCCTGTAATACTAAAATAAATCCTTGCTAAACTTAAGAAAGGTCATGTTTAAGAACTTTATATTATTTCATTAAAAATTGACATTTTCTATGTTAACAGCAGCTGTGAAAACTCTGGGTAGGAGAAACTTGGTTCTCCCCAGAAAACACAACTAGCTTTCTCTAGAAAACCTTTATCTCATAAATGAAGTCCATCTTGAAAGGGCTAAGAAACTGACTGAATGATGTTTACTTTGAAAGTATATAATCATTAAATAGTTACATCAAGTAATAAGAATTTTTGGCAGCTCCAAGATTTTAAGTCACCAACTCATTACTGTCAGGCATAGCACTCTAGGGTATTTCAAGTTACATTAAAATAACTTGAGAGTCCGGGGTGGTGGCCCATGCTTGCAGTCTCAACACTCAGGAGGATAAAAGCAGGAGGACTGCATTGAGGCCAGCCTGGGGACTACATAGTGAGACTCAAACTCAAAAAGATAAAGGATGGAGCTCAGTGGCAGGATGCTTGCCTAGCAAGCTTGGTTTCATCCCCAGCTGAGGGAGGGAGAGGAGAGAGAGAAGGGAGAGAAAGGAAGAAGGAAAAAGAAATAAAAAGGAAACAAACAACAAAATTGAACCTGTACTCATTTTGTATACTGTAAATCAGAGTGCAATACATGATGGCAAAACAAACTAAAAGTCCTCAAAACAAAAACCAAAAAAACCGCAATAACTATTCATAGCGCTCTACTTGTTACTCCAACAAAAATTACCCAAGGCAATCAAGTTTCATTCCTTCTTGACCACAATGCTAACTTTTCCACTCTTTGGTTTTTGATTTTGATTGACAGGAAGGAAGATGAAGCTCCCCGGGCCTACTGCAGGCTAGGAAGACCACAGTTAGCAAAAACTCACTGTGCATTGCAAAACAGCGACAGGGGGACTGTGGGTGCCCTTAGCCTGCTCTTTCACGAATCTACCAAACCGAGGAATGGTGAGACCTCGCCCTGCCATAGCGGGACATGATAGAGGCCTGCACCTCCACGGCCCTGGGACCACCTGTCTTCCGTCCTCCCACGGGGGATGGAGAAGCCGCGGAGGGCTAGGAGTGGGGTGGGGGTGGGAAGGGGTCCCGGCAGCCCTTTAGGGCTGGGCCTAGGCCTCTGGCCTGCGAGGCAGTGTCCTCCACACAGGCTCCAGCTGCCCAAGCCCGTCGCGCACGTGCCTCCTCGGCCCCAGCCGGCACACAGGCCTAACTACCCTAGGTCCACCTCCAACGCCAGCCCAGGCAGAGGCAGGGACGCGGAGCCGACCTCGGGCCCTCACCGGAAGCTCTGGACACCCTCCGTCCACACCGAGCACACTGAACCTCTGAGGTGCCCCAATACCGACTCTTACACCCGACCTGCCCGTAGGAAGACAAGGCGGGCGGAGCCGTCGAAGCCTCTGCCGCCATTGTACCTCCTTTCGGAGGTGCGGATCTGGACCGCGTGCAAGACCCGGAGGCCTTCGCGGCAGTAACCAATCACTACGGGTCGGCTGCCACAGCCAGCCAATCAGGGGGCAAGGAGATTAGAATCCGCCCCAGAATGCCCCAGCCCCACGTGACCTTCGCGGGGGCTGTTTTCAGTGTTACCCTGGGTGCCTGGGTTCCAGGAAGGTGCCTTAAGTGGTGAAGGACCGTTTGCTTTTCTTTACTTACCTTCTTATACTTTTAATTAACTCAAATTCGGATTTCTCATATTATTGCATTGCAGGTGACTTCACAAATAGCAAACAAATGTATTATATGGAATAGCCGCTTCTCAATTCTTTAGGCCATAAGGCCCAACTGAGTTAGTGATGGAGAGAACTTGACTGATGGTAGTTGTGGTGGGAGGCGCCAAGCAGTAGCGATGGTTGGGGGAGGTTCAATGGACGATTCCAAATTAGGAGGTGATCTTCATTGGTAACTGGTGCTGAGCCTAATTTACAAGGTGCTGTGCTGGGAGAATTTGTAAAGGAATAGGTTTGTATTTGAGAGGCCTGTAGATGGTCACTTCTAAAGTAGCTCCACGTGTGTTAGGAGCAGAACGAACTACTGTAGGTTGAAGAGAGAAAGTCAATACAGCCTACCAGGGTGTGAAAAAAATCTTCCTACAGGGTACAGTTTGTACTAGACATTAAAACCCAGAGTACTAATAGGAGTACTAAACAGGTGGTGAGACATTCTAGGAACAAAAAACACATAAGCAGGAGACCTTTAAGTGCAAGATGCAGTGTCCTCTCCAGAATTTATAGGGCTTTCAAGAATGGGGATGTAGCTCAATGGCAATGCTTGCTAGTATGAGCAAGGCCTTGGGTTGATCCCCTGAAATTAAAAAATAAATAAAATGTGTTGCCTATAAACCATTCAGTTGGAGTATTGGTTTCATTAAAATGAGATTTTGGAGAGGTATATTGGGAAAGAATTTTAGAGAGTCTTGAATATTGGCTAAGGAGTTCAGACTTAGCAGTGTCATGCAAGAGTTTTGTGAAGTAAGAATGAAGTAATCTTGCAGCAAAGCTGCAGGTGTATTTCCAAAGAAGCATCTGGAAGTGGCAAAGTTGCCTTCAGTTGCTAACAATAAAACCTGTGCATTTTTATCATGTTCTCTTTCCCCCCTCTCTATTTTTATACTTTATGTGTGTTTGTGTGTGTGTGTGTGTGTCAAAAAAGAAACAAAGGGTGCTGAGGGTGTGGCTCAAGTGTTAAGAGAGCCTGCCTAGCCCCAGGTTTAATCCCAGTACCAATAAATAAATAAATAAATAAATAAATAAATAAATAAAATAAAGCTATTCTGTTCAAAGACTCAACCCAACAGAAGTACTTTATATGCATGTGTGAAAATAATGAACCCCATTGAAATTGTAATAAAATGGGAAAAGAAAGGTAAGATGGAGTGAATCTGATTGAACTAGACTATGCATGCATGGAAATAACACAATGAAACCTCTTTGGACAGTTAATATATGCTCATAAAAAAAGGCTCACCTCTCCTCAAAAATCCTTGCACTCCATTGCCTTTAGGAAAAAAATAAGAATTTTTAACTCTATCCTCATTCTACCTGTCCAATGGTTTCTACTAATCCATAAGAACCCAGGGTACTAAGGAAGACAGTATGCCCACGTAACATGTCATTTTGTGAATACCATTCCCTATTCCTCTCACCTGCAAGGCCCACTCCTTCCTTTTCATCAACTCGTATCTCTTTATACTTCAAGGGTCAGCTTTTAACCCTGAACTCTTCCCATTTCTTCTCATGCTCTGCACTACTCTGCCATGCAGCAGTCTCCTTTTCCACCAGGACATCTGTACAGTAATTTGATTTTGTTTTTTTGCTCATCTCACTATGTTGCCCAGGTTTTGTTTAAACTTCTGGACTCCGTGATCCTCCTGCCTCAGCCTTCAGAATAACTGAGCCTACAGGTGCATACCATCTTACTCAGCTTGTAGTATAATTTGAATGAATCAATGAATTTGATTTGAATCTCATTGCGTAGGGGATCATCTTAGGTCAAAATAGGACTATCAATTTGTGCAAAACAGAGACATCATCTCTGAGTATCACCAGGCATGTCGGAAAGAATTATGTCTCTAGTAATCCCAGAAGTTGAATAAATCTTGGATAAGTCAGGGTCAATGAGAAATACAATTATACAAGTTTCTACCCCTCATGTTAGTCACTTAGCACTTGCCCAAAGCTCTCAAATAGAGCAGTCAGGGTTGTCTGCCTAACATTTAATTTAGATTGCTTAAACCCTTTGTTGGAACCCTTTATTGATTTCCCATTGACTGTGACAAATCCTTAAAATGAACTTGGAGACCCTTATGACTCTGGCCTTTGTTTACCTCTCTAGGCTCATGTTTTCCCAGACTAACCTTTTTTTTTGCCACACTGGGGTTTGAACTTCATGCCTCACGCTTGCAAGTCAGGTGCTCTACCACTTGTGCCACTCTGCCAGCTCCTTTTCTCAGTTCTATAAGTAGGTCAAGTTTTTTCCAGTCTCAGGAATTCCTCTGTTACTGGGCATGGTGGCACAACTCTGTAATTCTAGCACTAGGGAGTGCTAGAGGAGGATTAGGAATTGAAAGCCAACATGGGCTACATCATGAGTTCCAGGCCAGCCTGGTCTACATAGTGAAACCCTATCTCAAAAAGAAAAAAGAAAAAAGCCACTATATTTTAGCCACATAAAAAGAAAGAATAAAAGTACACACCAATGGCTCATGACTGTAATTTTACCTACTCAGGAGTCAGAGATCAGGAGGATTGTGGTTCAAAGCCAGCCTGAGAAAATAGTTCACAAGATTATATTGAAAAACACCCATCACAAAAAAGGGCTGGTATAGTGGCTCAAGATGTAGGCTCTGAGTTCAAACCCCAGTACCACACACATACACACAAAAAGAATAAAAGTACAAATGGCTGTGTATGCTCAATCAGTTTAGAAAAAATTCAGTTTAGTTAGATTACCTTGTTTTATTATCTGTTTAGATTTATTGACATGTTGACCAATTCTTTATTTTTTCTATATTTTGTGCCTTTTTTCTAGGACAATTTTCTTCTTAAGGACATACTGAAGAAGTGTCTTTAGTAAAGTTTGTTATTGGTGAATGCTGCCAACATTTATTTGAATGAAAACATTTTTATCTTAATTATTATTTTGGGGGAGGAGGTACTGGGGTTTGAACTCAGGGCTTTGCACTTACTAGACATATATTTTAATGCTTGAGTCATGCTTCCAGCCTGTTTTGCTGTAGTTACTTTTGAGATAGGGTCTCGCTTTTTGCCTGGGTGTGCCTGGGCTATGATCCTCCTATTTATGCTTTCTGCAGTAGCTGGGATGACAGTCCTGCACCACCACACCAACTTTTTATTGATGAAGATGGGGTCTCAGGAAAGTTTTTCCTTGGGCTGGCATGGAACTGCCATCTTCCATAGCTCTACCTCCTGAGTAGCTAGGATTATAGGCATGAGCCATCAGTGATTGGCTTGTCTTAATTCTTGAATGATTGTTTAGTAATACAAATTTCTAGGTTGATGGTTATTTTTCTCAGATTTTGTTTTTTTTTATCTTGATTTATATATATATATTTTTTCTTTTATTATTCATATGTGCATACAAGGCTTGGTTCATTTCTCCCCCCTGCCCCCACCACCTCCCTTACTACCCACTTCACCCCCTCCCTCTCCCCCCAATACCCAGCAGAAACTATTTTGCCCTTATTCTCTAATTTTGTTGTAGAGAGAGTATAAGCAATAATAGGAAGGAACAAGGGTTTTTGCTGGTTGAGATAAGGATAGCTATACAGGGCATTGACTCACATTGATTTCCTGTGCGGGTGTTACCTTCTAGGTTAATTCTTTTGATCTAACCTTTTCTCTAGTTCCTGGTCCCCTTTTCCTATTGGCCTCAGTTGCTTTTAAGGTATCTGCTTTAGTTTCTCTGCGTTAAGGGCAACAAATGCTAGCTAGTTTTTTAGGTGTCTTACCTATCCTCACCCCTCCCTTGTGTGCTCTCGCTTTTATCATGTGCTCATAGTCCAATCCCCTTGTGTTTGCCCTTGATCTAATGTCCACATATGAGGGAGAACATACGATTTTTGGTTTTTGGCCAGGCTAACCTCACTCAGAATGATGTTCTCCAATTCCATCCATTTACCAGCGAATGATAACATTTCGTTCTTCTTCATGGCTGCATAAAATTCCATTGTGTATAGATACCACATTTTCTTAATCCATTCGTCAGTGGTGGGGCATCTTGGCTGTTTCCATAACTTGGCTATTGTGAATAGTGCCGCAATAAACATGGGTGTGCAGGTGCCTCTGGAGTAACAGTCTTTTGGGTATATCCCCAAGAGTGGTATTGCTGGATCAAATGGTAGATCGATGTCAGCTTTTTAAATAGCCTCCAAATTTTTTCCAGAGTGGTTGTACTAGTCTACATTCCCACCAACAGTGTAAGAGGGTTCCTTTTTCCCCGCATCCTCGCCAACACCTGTTGTTGGTGGTGTTGCTGATGATGGCTATTCTAACAGGGGTGAGGTGGAATCTTAGTGTGGTTTTAATTTGCATTTCCTTTATTGCTAGAGATGGTGAGCATTTTTTCATGTGTTTTCTGGCCATTTGAATTTCTTCTTTTGAGAAAGTTCTGTTTAGTTCACTTGCCCATTTCTTTATTGGTTCATTAGTTTTGGGAGAATTTAGTTTTTTAAGTTCCCTATATATTCTGGTTATCAGTCCTTTGTTTGATGTATAGTTGGCAAATATTTTCTCCCACTCTGTGGGTGTTCTCTTCAGTTTAGAGACCATTTCTTTTGATGAACAGAAGCTTTTTAGCTTTATGAGGTCCCATTTATCTATGCTATCTCTTAGTTGCTGTGCTACTGGGGTTTCATTGAGAAAGTTCTTACCTATACCTACTAACTCCAG